GCTGACAAGGGCACAATGTGCCAAGATTATAACAATAAAACACATAGTATAAAACAATAAAATCCAATAACAAATTTACAATATAAATTTAGACAAAGATGGGTAGACCTTAAACCCAGCGGTAGCTTCCTGAAATCTATCATCCACTTCGTGCCAGGGGCGCCTCGCCCCCCTGTGGGATCCAGACAATCGTGGTGATAGTACGACGGTGCATAGAAGGCAATGGTGGAATAGTTCTTACCGAACCTCTGCTGGAAGATCTCCAGTGAAAGGCAGCCCACCCCACCCCCCACCCCCAGGCACTTGGGTTTCCACTCTCAAATTGCTCTCACTCTTAGGAAGTTTCTCCTAAGGCACTACCAAAATACATCTTCCTGTACCTTAAGCGCATTAAGTCTAATCTTGTCCTCTGGAGCAGCAAAGAATACCTGACGAGTGACAATCCTTCAGGTACCTGACGACTCAGTCGCCCCCCCCCCCCATTTCCTTCAACCATGGCTGAACGCATGAAAACTGTCTATCAAGTAGAGTATTAGTCTACTCAACTGGAAGCCGCTCTGCAACGTCTCGGTTGGAGGTCCTTCTCTACCTACACATTAACACACATGAAGCTGCCTTCCACGGAGACGGACCATCAGTCCATCAAGGTTGCTATTGTCTACTCAGACTGGCAGCCGCTCTCCAGGGTCTCAGGTGGAGGGCCTTTCTCATCACCGACTCCCCTATCCCTTTTTAGATCTGGAAATGCCAGGAACTGAACGCGGGACCTTCTACATGCAAAGCAGACGGTTACGACTTCTCTCTTCCAGACCCTTCTGCAACCCTCCCTCAGCTCTGCCTAGCGCTACTGAGAAAGGGGTGCCGTTCTGAACCAGCATTCAAAGAAAGAAGCGGCCAGCAAACTCTTGCAGTGCACATTGTTGGATTTCTCACAGTGCGTGCCCGGCAGCGAGAGAGCCACGGGAGGGCAAAGTGCACGCATTCAAGCCTCTTACGCAATGCCATCATCAGATTACGCAGCGTGAGCCTTTTATTAAATCGAAGAGGTCAGGTTAGCTACTTAGAAGAGGGCAGGTGCGCGTGGGAAATAAGGAAAGAGGGGGACGGCTGCGTTTTATTTAAATAGCAAATCCTGTTTCTGTCCGTACTTGCTGGGTGGTAAGTAAACAGCTTAGCCAAAGGACTGGTGGATAATCACAACAGAAGATAATCAAGCCCGTTCCAAATACAACAGAAGCCAATAAGGGCTTATTTATTTTAGATGCGTCAGAATCCTCCCTAAACTGAAACCCCAAAGACTGAGGCGTTAGAGCAAATGGGGTAGGACCAAAACACATCGAGCGGTCCCTAGCCTCCTCCTGAATGCTTCTTCACAATCCTCACCAGAAGAGTTGGGGGCAGTGTTCCCTCTAAGCTGAGTTAGTGTGAGCTAGCTCACAGTTTTTTAGCCTCCAGCTCACAAATTTTGTCTCGGCTCAGGAAGGAGGGCTCCAGAGCAAACTGATTTATGCAGTAGCCAAAATCGCTCGCTCACAACTTTAATGCCAGTAGCTCAGAAACAGTGTTCCCTCTAAGCTGAGTTAGTGTGAGCTGGTTCACAGTTTTTTAGCCTCCGGCTCACACATTTTTGCCTTAGCTCAGGAAGGAGGGCTCCAGAACAAACCAATTTATGCAGTAGCCCAATCGCTCACTCGCAACCAATGCTCCCTCTAAGCTGTGGAGTCCTGTGAGCAAAAATTCTACTTTGCGAGTGACTGGCATTGAAGTTGTGAGCGAGCGATTTGGCTCCAGCATCAATTATATTGCTCTGGAGCCCCATCCTTCCTGAGCTAAGACAAAAATGTGTGAGACAGAAGCTAAAAAACCGTGAGCTAGCTCACACTAACTCAGCTTAGAGGGAACACTGCTCACAACTTTAATTCTACTTTGCGAGCGACTGGCATTGAAGTTGTGAGCGAGCGATTTGGCTCCTGCATCAATTATATTGCTCTGGAGCCCCATCCTTCCTGAGCTAAGACAAAAATGTGTGAGACAGAAGCTAAAAAACCGTGAGCTAGCTCACACTAACTCAGCTTAGAGGGAACACTGCTCACAACTTTAATGCCAGGAGCTCAGAAACAGTGTTCCCTCTAAGCTGAGTTAGTATGAGCCAGC